CGGATGTTCGTGTGTGTGTGTGTGTGTGTGTGTGTGTGTATTGGGTGATGGTGGGGGGAGGAGGAGGGGGGGGCAAGCAAACGTTAGATGAGAGCTCGTTTGGAAGAAGCAGCTTTGACGGGCCGTTGAACGACAGGGATGGACGTGCACTTTCACCGATTTTCCAATTTTAACTTGCCCGTGGGCTGGCTGAACGATTGCGACTACACGTGTATCGCATAGTGCAGTCCGGTTTTTCTGGACCAAATCGATAACCTGTTGGACGGCAATGATCCTGAGAGATGCATGAGCCACAGTCCGTGATGCGATCGTTGCCAATTGGTTTTTCCACCAAATGGCTTGGTTTCGTTATGGGGTTTCGATTTCTGGCGGTCTCCTTCCGGAAACTTAACTGTACATCTACGTGCTCAAATAACAAAAAATAAAAAGAAGTAAAACATTTATTTATTGTATGTATATATTGCACCATGTGGACACGGGAAGTATGCATTCATACCAAATCCAAGAAGATAGTGGAACGAGGCAATGCTTTCCTCGTGTGAATACCGATTTCTAGTCACTTATTATATTGATCATTTACAAGTTATGACAAAGCACCAGGTTCGAAATGCAATTTTCTCCGAATTCTAATGGATCTCGTTCGACTGGGTTGTACACCGGTGCCAAGATTGTATTAGATGATACGAACACTTTTGTCCGAATATACCATCATTACCCATTGTAAGAAAACACAAAGTAGAGAACAAGCTAGTTTGCGATGATTTTTCTACAGGCTAGTTTATCACAATTTATATCAAACTGTTTGGAAAGGGGGAGAAATCATGACAAGTTGGAAAAGAGATAATCAATATTCCAGTTCCATAACCGGATGTTGATCATGCTTTCTTTGGTCCTCACACATGCACACTGGTTCGGATCATTAGGGTGCGGGTGGGCGGGGGATGGCTGTGTCGTGTTTGGTGCTGGCCATGGAAGATCGAGTGTTCTTACGACTTGGTTTTGGGAGTATATGGGAGTGGTGAGGGGGGCGGAGATTATGCAGGCAGATTCCAATCGCTTCCGCTGTGACCACAAATCCGACTCCTAATCCTCTTAGATCGGCGGGTGTGAACTAAGTAGAGTGGTCGAAACGCCTCGGCCACAATAACCGCGTGTTTTGATTCCACTAGGTGTGAAGCGAGTGAGCTGTTAAATGGTCCCAATTACTCCACTGTTCAACCAGGCCGGGCGAGGCTCACGGATTCGCTCAGATAAACGTCTGCTCGTGTGGCCAATGTACCTTGTCCCACAGGAACAGATAAATAAGTATACACAGAAAGAGACGGCAAAAACAAGTAATTTAGCTTTGAGTTGAAAGCGCAGAAGTGGACTGGAGATGAACATAATACGCAGTTTTGCCGTGGGGAATGCTTTTTCTACAACTGTACTGAGCTTACATGTCACCAGATCGTCAGTTGTGTAGCGATATGCTGCTTCTCCGTAGTAGTCCTCTTACTTTGCAACCGGTGATGCTCCAAAATTTTGTCCACAAATCGCTCTGAGTATCCGTTTTGAAGGACAATATCTCGAATTACCGTTAATTCTGTATCACTGGTATTGTCCGTACATATTCTCCGAGCCCTGGTAGCGAGGCACTGAATCAGTTTTCTCCTCCGTTCCAAAGGTACAGGTCTAATGGAAACTGCGGCAACAGGTCCCTGTGAAACACTTGTCGGTTCGTATAGGCTACAGCATTTATACTGAAGTAAATTTTTTTCCAAATAATAATAAAGAAGCCTTGGGAGTCTTTATAGACGTGATTTTTCAGATTCGTTTATACCCAGTACATGGAATGGTTCAGAATGTACAGGATACTCCTATTTCGTCAGTAGTGGTTGACCTAAACCATGATGAGTTAAGAGGTAACTGAAGCGAATGGAACAGTTTTTATTTACAACAAATTAACATTGATAATAATAATTAAGATGTAAAGTTTATGTACACTAATAGTCGATTGGTCTATCTTTATTCTTTAAGACTTTTTCGAGTCTCTTCGGCATCGAATCCACCAACTTTGTTATGAAGTCATTTTCTATTCTGTGCTCCATTACTTATCGCACTTTTGCCTCCAATGTCCAATGTATGGGTAGTACATTGACCTCTCTCTTCAAAACAGAAAACAGATTTTCAAACACTTTGAGATCCGGGGTATTAGGGTGGAGTTGCATGAACTGAACCTTGGAGTCACGCATCTTTTCTGAAGTCTAAAAGCAAATAATAAGTGAACCAGACTCCTTAAATAAATAAATTTAGTAACCTCTAGTGAAACAAAACACTCAGCGTTATCCTGAAAAACGATAACTTTTCCAGACGATTTTTTTCATGAAGTTCTGGAAACATTTCGTAATTACTAATGCAAATTTCCCACTATTCATGGTGCCTTTGACTGATGTCCACCGACGAGGCTGACCATGTTTTATTCCTGCCCAAATGAGTAATCTCGACGGGTGAGAAACTCTTGCATTTGGTGGAATCAGTTCTTTTGGGAAATTCTCACCACAAATGACTTTTTTGTGAGCCTTCCCAGGCTCGTCGCACACCATACACTCGTCGGCGTTTTTCATGTTCAGATCAGTTAATCTTGGCACTCAAGGTCAGGCACGTTTAATTGACAATTATGCAGCCTAGAAACTACTCAGATCGCAGTAGACAAGATATAAATTATTGTCCGTACCTAAAGCATTAATACGGGTAAATATAGTAAATATAGTGAGTAGGTAAATAGGTAAATATAGTAAAACTCCATTTGATCATAAAGAAAATATTTCAGTGCATCACAATCGGCTAGTACTGTACACAGCTTTTGAAATGCATAAACTGATTGTTTCACGACGGCTTCCTGTGGATGGCGCGTTGGATAGTTCCGTCTGATCGACGGCTTATTAGAGCGTCCAGAAATGCAACCTGCTCATTCTTTTTGTTTTCTAGAATAAACTTAATGTTTACATGAGCTGAGTTAAACACTTGTAAGAGTCTTGACAGATTCATACTGTCATTGACAAAACACAAAACAGACTCTGTTATCACACAGACACACAGACACACAAATGAAAGATATCGCTATCACAGGAGCAGACACAAGAGAGCAGAGCGATTTTTGAAGACCAACAGTAAAAATCTCATTCCTTTCGATAGGTTCGACAGCGGCTCAGTAGTAGTCACTCTGTCATTAGCAGTCAGGTCTAATATAGTGGATAAGATGTTGTAAATCCCACCCGGTTTTTTTTCACTGTGTTTCAAGCACGAAAACAATTTCTTTTTGTTAATGATACAATCCATGACAGGATTTCGGTTATCAGTTT